AAAGAAAATTTAAGGCTAAAAAAGAACCTTTAAGCATAGAAGACTTGTTCAATGACAGGATCTCTATGTAGGGCAGGCTGGTGTTGACTCGGGGTTTTTTTAAACTCAGTTTGAATTCCAGGCTGACCTCGAACTCATGCTGATCCTCCTGCTTCAGCCTACAAAGTGCTGGGATTGCAGGTCTGAGCCACCAAGCGTGGCCCAAAATTATTTTAGTGGGCATGGTGGCTCATGCTTGTAATCACAGCACTCGGGAGGCTGAGGTAGCAGGAGGATTGTTATAAGTTCGAGACCAGCCTGGGCTACAAAGTGAGCTCAAGGCCAGCCTGAACTGCATAGGAAGACCTTGTCTCAAAAAAGACACACACACACGTTAGAGTCCTTGTTCCCCGTTTTTAAGTACTTCCATCATCAGAATGACTTTTGGCTTTGTACTGGGTATTAATACCCAGGCATACTATATTCTAATTCTCCCGCCCTTTATTCATTTTGAGATGTTCTTGCTGTATTATTGAGGCTTGGCTTTTTCTTTGTTTGGAGACAAAGCTTACTATGTAGTTCAGGTTGACGTTGAACTCAGTGATCCTGCCTCAGCCTCCTAAATGGTGGGATTACAGGCATATGGCACACCTGGCTAACACTACTTTTCAGTTTTAGGAGTACAGAAAAAAGGGGTGGGGCATTACCCACATTCTATCCCACCCCATCCATTCACAGCTACCTATATCATCTCCACCAGAGTATGTGTTATACCAGTGGGACTCACACTGATAGTTTATTACCCAAAGACCAGTATGAATTAGGATTGATTCTTGGTGTACACTCTACAGGTTTGCACAAATGAGTAATGAGTAAGCAGAGCATTTTTATGGCAATGCAATTATTCTGTACTGAACAGCAGTGAACACAGGCCATTGCTTCTTCGGCTTCGGTCACCGTGGTGTTTACAGCAATCAGTACCTCATGTAGGACAGGAGCTGTAACTGGGCGTGGTGTGCACCTTTGTAACCCCAGCAACTTGGAGGTTTAGGTATGGGGGATTCCAGCCCTAGGCCAGCCTGGACAACTTAGCAAGGCCCTAAACAGGGTGGGGGCGCTTCAGGAATGTAGCTCAGTGCTTCTCTGGCTCTGCCCAGCACTACCCAAACAAGACCAACCTCTAATTAACACCTAATCGCCCACACTATTAGCCTGGTCCTGAACACCAGCATTAACACCAAAGACATCTCTTCTGGCTTCGAGTAAACACTTGCAGTATTGTTTTTATAGTCTACAACACTAAGTGTCCCAGTCCAGAATGGATGTCAGCAGCGAAGGGTCATGTTTCTATTTTAGAGAATCAAATGACCAAAAATCCCAGATTAATTTTCTGCTCTTCTCAGAGAACCCAACATTTGTCACTCCCACATCAGTTGACTGCTTCAATTCAGTCTCCCCACCTCCATCAAATAATAGCAACATGCTGGGAACGGTGGCGCATGCCTGTCATCCCAGCACTCAGGAGGCTGAGGCAGGAAGATGGTTACAAAGTGAGTTCAAGGCCAGCCTTAACTCCATTCCAGACCTTGTCTCAGAAAGACAAAAAACAAAACAAAAGCCCCTCAAATAACATACAAAGGTATATTATGAGCAAATCAAAATTTATTTTTTAACTCCATGTCATTTTTCAATGTGTTTAAAAACCTTGTGAATCAGTGGGAGCCCTAGTTCCCTGGGACAGCATGCCAGAGGTACTAAAGTGTGTCACTTTTCCCTGCAAACCCCCAGCAATTCATCCAATCCAAGTCCACAGCTTCAGAAAATTAGTTGTCTCTTCAAGTCAGTCTACTCCTCAGGTTCCTGGTTTTGCTTTCAAGGAAGGGAAGTCAAAGTATCTCAAACAGGGAACAAAAATCAGTTGACCTTCCGCTCAGATTTGTGTAAGCTGGAGTGAGAGGAGGTCCCCCTGACTCCAGAGAACAGGGCACAGTCGAGATGGGTTACTTCCTTACAGCTTTGTGAAAATGGGGAGAGGAAAGAAGACCCTGCAGAAAAAAATGCCTAAAAAAGATTCAGAAGTGAAGATCCAGTTGATAGATGACAACCTCTTCATAGATGGAGACTTCAGCTCCTAAAAAACGGGAAGGGCCTGGCTAGGCAGCCTGGATCAGACTGGAATCTGCCACTGGGATAAAAACCATTTGCAGAACAGCTCCTCGGAATTCTGAGGGTGGATAAGATATTCGGGAAGAGTGTGAACCGAGAGGAGGAAAAGCCCCAAACAATCGATGAGAAACGCTGACGTCAGAGTATAAAAGAATTTCAGCTGAGTTTTTAGTGGCGGCGGCTAATCGCTGCTGTCGGGCCACAAACTTTGACCGAGCAAAACAGTAGAAAAGGCTAGAAAGAGGGGCTTGGAGACGATGGGTTTGGACTCCTGATTCTACTCTTCAATTTCTTTTTCTATTTAAAGTAGTCTCCGGCGGCTGGGAAGCCCGGCCTCCCAAGAGCAGGCAGCCGGCCCGGCCGTCGGTGTGGGGGAGTGGGCGGGCCGGGCGTCCGGTGGAGAGGTCAAACTGCACTTCAGAGCCCGGGGCGGTGGGGGGCGAGGCGGGGCGGGAGCGGGCGGCCGCCTCAGTCCCCCGCTCCGTTCTCCTCTAGCGTCTCCCCGCTGGTGGCGTTCTCTGCGGTCTTGGAGGCCTGCATTTCAAGACAGGGAGAGGAGAAGCAGCGTCAGTGTCTAACTACCGGGGGCGGTGTCCAGAGCATGGGGGAGCGTCCTGATCCTCTGCGGCAGGGCCGAGGGGTGAGAGCGGGGTTCGCAAAAATCAGGACCCCCCCCCCCCCCCCCCGCGACCCGGGCAGTGGCACAGCGGCCAGGTCCCCCTGCCAGAGTATGGTCACAACACACCTTCTTTTTCTTCTTTTTCTGGGTTTTCCGACTTGCAGAACTCTGGAGGAGGGCCTGGGAAACGGGGGAGAGCGCGACAGACTCTGATGAGACCGGAGGCCCGCGACCCTCCCGCCGGGTTCCCAGGACTTCCGCCGCAGCGCTGCGCCCGCCCCTCCCGTCACACACCTTCAGCTCCGCGTCCTGGACCTCCATCTCCGACTTGTAGAGGTCGGGCTTGAAGGGACCACTGGTTATCCGCATGGGGCCGTTGGGCATGAGCAGGACTGTAAATTTAAACTGGGCAACAAACTCACCTGTGGGAAAAACGAAGATGTGCTTTGATAAAACGGTCCTTTGTCACTCGTGGCTCCTTTCTACAATCAGGAGACTGGTGCCGCACAACCGGGGCTCCCACACGGGGTCTCCTCCGGGCTCACCTTCCTTCTCATAGAGAACATTAAACGGCTGCAGCAGCTCGTGTTTGGCGCACTCCACCACCCCCATCCGCGCCTTCTTCTCGTCCTCGAAAGCTCTGGCAAGGAGAGCGGGAAGTCAGGGGCTCCCGGGCTCCCCATCCGGCCTCACTGTTTTTCACTTTAGCTTTTCTGCGGTGCTGACCAGACCCAGGGCACACGTGCTAGGCTAGGCCTCCATCCCGGGGCGACACCCCAGCCTCAGAAATCCTCCCTGCCCTTGCGCTGAAATCATGCTCAGGGGAGCTTTTGCATCAGCCTCCATGAGAAGACCACAGGACACACGTGAGCCTACACCAACCTACAAGTCCGGGCAGGAGGGGAGAGGAAGGGCGGGAAAGGCATTCCTGGTGCGTAATCTGAGTCAAACTGGTTCCAAGTCCTGTTCTTGCTAAGCGCAGTACCTTAGAGTGAAGGGCATAGCGTCGAAACGCCTCTCCACCTCACTGAAAAAGGCACGCGAAGTTTTCATTTTCAGGCCGTATTGTTTGGAGGGGTCTCGTTTGTAAATGGTGGTTCTCTGCCCTGCATCCTTGGCCTGAAAGAGTCAGTGAGGTCACATCTGGCCCGGCGCACACACTCCTTCACCCCTCGTGCTGGCCCGTATTTTCCTCACCTTGCCCTCTCCTGAGCTGACAAGAACATCCACAGCGTATACTTCATGTACCTCAAATTCAGCCTTTTCATGGTCCTTCCTAAAAGGTACAGAGAAAAAGGGAACCATTAAGAGTAATGAATAGGGCCGGGGATGTAGCTCAGTGGCATAAGTGCCTGCCTGGCAAGTGCAAGGTCCTGAATTTGATTCCCGGTACCAAGAAAAAAAAAAAAGAGTAATGAATAGAAAAAAAAAAAAGGTAATAAATAAATAGGGCTGGGGTTGCCAGGTGTGGTGGTGCACGTCTGTAATGCCAGCACCCGGGAGGCTGAGGCAGGAGGATCCTTGGGAGTCTGAGACCAGCCTGGGCTACAGCGTGAGCTCAAGGCCAGCCTAAACTGCATAGCGAGACCCTGTCTCAAAAAGACAGACAGACAGGGCTGGGGATATAGCTCAGTGGTACAGCGCCTGCCTGGCAAGTGCAAGGTCCTGAGTTCAATTCCTGCTACATCCCACCACCACAAAGAATACTAAATAGCTCCCAGGGCCTGGAGTAGAAGGCAGACGTGATTAAGTTGGGAGCACGGGGGAAAATAGTTGGTGATTGGTATGGCAGAAGAATGGGGTTGCACCTACTTTTGCTGGTCTGTGGGATTCTGGATAATGGTCTTCTCTCCATCGATGACATGCTGCTTCAACTGATGTGACAGCATACCTGCAGACAGGACAAGGCCTACGGTACTAGCTACCTAGAATCCCAAAAGGTACAAAGCCACCCACTCAGGTAGTCTGACCATGCAAGCGATGTGCCTGGCTATAGAAACGGCACTGAGGTTTCTGGCTCAGTCTGAACTACAGCCAGGATGAAGGAGCAAAAGCTGTAATTCTGCTAAATTAGTCATTCCTGGGCCCTTGACCCTGTTATCGAGATCTCACCTTCTATTGGTGTGCAATTAAATGAGTGGGCAACTTTGTTCCAGGCTTCTGTCACTTGTGTGTTCTACAAGTACAAAAGCAAATAAAAGGTGAGATATTAGGAGCTAATAAATCCTCTGCTGTGAGAATGAGAAGCATCAAAGATGAACTGATTCAACCAAGGTTAAGCAAGTAGGTAGAAGAACCTTGTCATAAACACAGCATTTCCCATGTAAAGTTCAGTATTTATTCCTTTACACCTGGCATTCTATCTGTTCACGAGAGGACAGAAACCTTTATTTTTCCTTGTCTTTTACCCCCTTGAAATCTGATCTGATCTTTATGTATGTTACTGAGACCAGAGAAAAAAAACCAAAACACATCCCCCAAACCTAGCTAGTATTTATTAAATATCTGTATGCCAGATACTACCGTAAGCACTTTACACTGGCAGAACTGTGAGAAGAAAGCAGTTTTATGTTTCGCATTTTGCAGATGAGGAATTTGAGCTCAAAATTATTTTTTATTTGGTTATTTTTTTGAGACAGGGTCTCATTATATAGTTCAGACTGGTTTTGAACTATGTAGCCCAGGCAGGCCTCAAATTTGTAGTGATCCTTCTGTCCGGTCCCTTGAATGCTGGGATTACAGGCGTGCACCACCACAGCCAGCTGTTTTTGTGTTTTGAGACGGGTCTCACTATGTACTTCAGGTTGTCCGCAGCCTTCCAAGTGCTGGGATTACAGATGTGTGCCATGCCTGGCTCAACATGATCTTTTATTTTTTGTCTTTTTGAAACAGAGTCTCATAGCTGGGCATGGTGGTGGACGCCTGTAATCCCAGCACTCAGATGGCTGAGGCAGGAGGATCATTGTGAGTTCGAGACCAGCCTGGGTTACAAAGTGAGCTCAAGGCCAGCCTGAAGCACATAGAGAGACCCTGTCTCAAAAAGACAAAAAAAAAAAAAAGAAAGAAAGAAAGAAAGAAAGAAAGAAAGAAAGAAAGAAAGAGGGTCTCGCTATGCAGTTCACCCTGGCCTTGAGCTCACTTTGTAGCCCAGGGTGGTCTCAACTGGCAAGGATCCTCCTGCCTCAGCCTCCCAAGTGCTGGGATTACAGTCATGCACCACCACACCCGGCCTTGACATTATCTTTAAATACTAATAGCTAAGTGTGGTGACAGGGTGTGGACAGACCCCATTTGATTTCATAGCCATATAATGTACTAGCCACTCTAAAATTCTACCTTCCTAGCCTGGTGTGGTGGTGTACACCTGTAATCCCAGCACTTGGGAGGCTGAGGCAGGGGCATCTTTGCAAGTTCAAGACCAGCCTGAGCTACAAAGTAATCTCAAGGCCAGCCTGAACTGCATAGTGAGACCCTGTCTCAAAAAGACAAAAAAAAAAAAAAAAAAAACCAAAAAACCACAAAAACAATTCTACCTTCCTGTAGAGATACACAATATATAAATAATAAGTGTGTGAAATAATAGTAACAGCTAATTATTGCTTAATACATGTCAGGTTTCCTGTTAAAAAGGACTTTTCAACAACCCTATAAATTTAGGTATCCCCTTTCAGATAACCAAATCAGATGTTTAAATAAAAATAATGCAATTAAATACTAAAATTGGGGATGAAGCCGGGCATGGTGGCACACGCTTGTAAATCCCAGCACTTGGGAGGCTGAGGCAGGAGGATCCTTGCGAGTTCGAGACCAGCCCAGGCTACAAAGTGAGCTCAAGGCCAGCCTTAGCTGCATATCGAGACCCTGTCTCAAAAAAAAGACCAAAAAATAAATAAAATTGTGGATGAAATAAAAATTAATTAGAAGACTGAGACAAGAGAGCATAGAAAAGAATAAAACACAGTGGTCTGCTGGATGTGGCTACAGGCCTGTACACTCAGTTCAGGCAGAAATGCCCAGAGCTGAGGCCGGCTTGGACTACTGTCACAAGTCACTGTCTCCCCAGCCCCCAAAACCTAAAAGACAATGTTCTGAGCATTAAACAGATCTCTGGAAATGTTAAGTATTAGTGAAGTATCTCCACTGTGAATCTAACATGCTTAATTCTAACAGTTCAAGACAACTCTACCATTCCTAGGCTCCCAGACTTGCAAATCACAGAACCAGTTTTATTCTATTTTTTCCTTGTTCCGGACATTGAAACTTTGGTCTTCCCATTGAGCTACATACCCAGACTTTTTTTTTTTTTTTTTTTTTAAAGACAAGGTCTTCCAAAGTTGCCAAGTGGCTAGCTCAAACCTCCAATACTCCCGCCTCAGCCTTCCATAGTGCTGGGCAGGTGTACACCACCATGCCCACCTTTAGCCTCTCTTCGACATTTGTTTACTGATACTGTAGAGATACACAATATATAAATAATAAGTGTGTGAAATAATAATAACAGCTAATTATTGCTTATTACATGTCAGGTTTCCTGCTGAAGGAACTTTTCAACAACCCCATGAAGTTAGGTATCCCCTTTCAGATAACCAAATCAGATGTTTAAAATTTCTGATTTCATAGCCATGTAATGTACTAGCCACTATAAAATTCTACCTTCCTAGCCTCTCTGATACATGTTATCGTTTTAAAAAAAAATATTCTGCTAAAGCTGAATTTTTGAATTTGTTTTACACATCAGCTACCTACCTCTATTTTGGGAAAAGACGCACACACAAAATAAAAGACAACCTAAGAGCTAAATATGATGGCACAGGGCTGTAATCCTAGCACTCAGCAGGCTGAGGCAGGAGGAACACCATAAATTCGAGGCCAGCCTAAACTACATAAGAGACCCTGTTTCGCAAAACAAACAGCTAGACTCTTAGGGAAGTTGCCAATTCCATACAGAGTAGTCCTAAGTGCCTAACGTATGTTTGGTTCTACTAAGCTTTGGAGTTGGATATACACCTTACCTGGTTTCCAGGTTTGACTAAGCGAAGGGCAGCTTCAGCACATAGGTGAGCTGCCTTAATGACATCTGCTTTCCTCCCTGTTACCTGGGTCCCCTGCAGAAAAGAAAACGTAATCAGTGTCTTCCTGGAAAGTGTACTAATCCAGCTGGCCATTCGACTGGTATCTGTAGGCAGCCACCTACCTACCTGAGGCACACCAATGACAAAAGTGTGAGCCACGTTAGCAATGAAGCCATCCACGTGGACCCCAAGGTCGCTGAAAGGCAAGCGGAGCACTGCGTTAACAACAGGCACTATACAAATGCTCAGGAAAAAGGCAAATGCTCTAGAATGGTTTAACCTTACATTTTTACCAAGTCACCTTCCTTGAGAATATAGTCCTGGTCACTCTTCAAAGGGGAGAAGTGACATACACAGTTATTTACCGAAATGCTGGTAGGAAAGGCAATACCTGTAAAAAGAATCATCAGCCTTACTGCCTTGCTCTCTCAGGAGCCTTAGTGCTCTTTAGAGAAATGAAAGGGTTTTTTTTTCAGGGACTCGATTCAACTTTTATCAGTTTGGACTGGGTAGGAAACCATTCCATTGCCACTCCAACTATCAAGCTGAACGAGAGTGGTGGTTACATCATAACAACAAAAACGAAGAAGATCCAATAAAGGTCAGACTGGGAGGTTAAGGGAAGGACTCTTGTTTACCTTTCTTCATTTCCTTTTCTTTCTTGAAGATTTTTCCTGTCTCTTCCATAATCATGGCATCACCTTTCTCACACAGGCTCAATACCGACACACCTGAGCTGGATGCTTCCACCAAGGCGCGAAGTACTCCTGGGGACAAAAAGCCCACCATGTCAGCCCTGCACATATTTACTCAGCAAGCAAGTAATACTGGAAGTTGGACTCAAAGAGTTTCTAATAATGCCTACTGCCACTGTCCTGAGGCTTCCAGGGGAAACAAGTTTTACTTCCTGGAATGGATCCACCTATAATCTCTAATTTCCACCTTCGTTTCCTAAAATAAAAAGGTCAACACTCCTTTTGCTCCCTTACATTATTATGTGACAGCTGGGCACATACAATCTGTCTCCTCCGGCAAGGCATCAGACTTCCAAAGATAGTACCTTTGGTATAAGAGTTATGAACTCGAGGGGGCTCTCACCAAGGTACCCCATACACATGCAAAGCAAACCATAGGAAATTTATAGGCGTCAGGGACAACAGAGTAGACACAGAATTGCTGAGTTGAAGCTGATGCACTGTTAAATATTACCTTCTTTCCTTCTCAGACACCCTAATTAGGTGTTAGTAATCTCAATTTATGTAGAACTTATTTCCTCACCAAGTATATAAACCTAATGGACTTAATCCAAGGTACCAAGCTTCAGGGGCCTAATGGCTTATAATTTTTACAGGCTCTCAAAGAGCTGTGACCCCAGTTTCAGTATGAGGGATCACAAGCACCTCCAATTATAAGCTAGAAGAAAAGAAGAGCTGGGCGTGGTAGTGCACACCAATAATCCCAGCACTGGGAGTCTGAGCAGGAGGATCGCTTGGAGTTCGAGACCAGCCTAGGCAACAAAGTGGGCTCAAGGCCAGTCTGAGCTGCATAGCGAGACCCTGTCTCAAAAAGACCAAAAAAAAAAAAGAAAAGAAAGCACCACCTCCAAGAGAAGAGTGTACCACACTAAATGCCCATTGCGTTTCACTGCTCTGTTCACACCCTCTCCGTGATTCGGATCCATCCTGAATTTGGTTTGATTTTTTGGGGATCTATTTTGGCAATCCTTTAGAAACCAGAAAAAGGTTCACAGCCACAGGGGCAAAGGCATCCTAACTACCTCCTCCCACTACCTTTATTGCTAAAACCATACAAAAGCCCAAAGACGAGGAATTTCTATCTCCCTAAGTGGGCCAGTCCTGGTGGCAAATGCTGTAATCCCAGTGGATGAGGCAGGAGAGTCACTATGAGTTTAAGGCCAGCCTAGGCTACATAGTGAGACATTGTCTCAAAAAAAAAAAAAAAAAAAAAAAAAAAAAAGAAAGAGGAAATGTGATTCATCTGCTTAGAATGATCCATGGCCTAAAGAAGTTAAGTCCAGCTGCCCCGACATGGCATGCAATGCCCTCCATAATCTGCCACATCTACCTTATTGCTTGCTCAGACAGCTTCTACTGTAGCCCCCTTCAGCTATTTACAGTTTACTTCCTTGAATTTGAACTGAGAGCAACACATCTAAATATCTCTTGAATACACTTACTTGCCACTGCTCAGCCTGAAATGCCATTCTCAACCTGCTGGACAATGTAAAGATCAGCCCCTCTTGGAAGTCTCACAGATGCTGTCTCCTTGAGGTCAGAAAAAGTTCCTCAGTCCCTTTCCCACAGGGCTCCCCCAAAAGATAAAAAGATAAAGATAAAAGATTAAAAGCAGTAGCGATAGCAGTAGCTTCAAGCTTTCCATAAGCAAAGATCCTGTCACTATCTTTGGCCCTGGTATGTTGAAACAGATGAAAAGACTGGATGGCATGGTGCTAAGCCTGGCTCAACTCCGTCAGTCAGGAAGGGTAACCAGAGATTCAATTCACATGGCTGGAAGAGGCCATCTTATTGTCTGTAGGCAGAAATGCACATAACTCTCCCCAGACTAGCAAAGGAGAACTTTCTGAGCATGTCTTAAAGAAGAGAAAAATAATCATAGAAAATTACTTGCCTGTGTCTGGTGCCTCCCCTTTACTGTGCACCTTCTTATCCCAAGTGGAAAGTGCAAGGAACTCTGACAGGAATCTGGAGAGTGTACAGATGTTTGGGTTGGGAGCTGGTTGATGCTTAGGGTTCATTCTGCTCAGTCTGCCATTGCCCTAGTTCCCTCACAATTACATTGCTCCAACTTTGTTGAAGATAACAGTATGTAATGTAGCAACCATTCTTAATTCCTCTCATTTTGTTATGAGGTCATGTATAATTTTTGTTGTTTTTGTGTTGTTTTAATTTTGTCTTCATTGTTGTTTTGTTAGTTTTTTTAATTTTTAAAATAAAAAATAATT